TTTTTTTTTTGTCTCTGTAGGATCTGGCTGCTGCTGACAGAGCAAAGAGACAAATCCAACAAGAACGAGATGAACTGCAGGATGAGATCAATAGCCAGAATGCCAAGAAGTGAGTTGCCTGCAGTCATTGTGATGTATTTTCTGGTAGCGTATCCTGCATCAGACAGTTAGTCCTATAAAATTGAAGTGTGTTTGGTATCTCACAGTGTTGGGTGGTTTAAATGGTGGGGGTTTTTTTTCTTCCCACCTCTGTCAGCTCACTGAGCAGCGATGAGAGGAGGAGACTGGAGGCACGTATTGCTCAGCTTGAGGAGGAACTTGAGGAGGAACATCTCAATGTGGAACTGGTCAATGATCGACTGAAGAAAGCGACACTGCAGGTAGAGTACCGAGAGCTTCATGAGATGACAGCTGATATTTGGGAACACTTCAAATGGTTTTCATCATGATTCTCTGTGGCTTTATTTTGGTTTAACATCAGGCTGAGCAGGTTACAGTGGAGTTGTCTGCAGAGCGTGGTAATAGCCAGCGTCTGGAGGGTTTGCGCTCTCAGCTGGACCGTCAGAACAAGGACCTAAAGCAGAAGCTTCAGGATTTAGAGGCAACTGTGAAGAGCAAGTACAAGTCCACTATTGCTGCTCTGGAGGCCAAGATCCCACAGCTCGAAGAGCAGTTGGATATTGAGATGAAGTGAGTGATGATGGATGGTTTGTTATTGGCAGCAACTTTCAAACCCACACCGATACCGGCATAATATACAGATATCATTATGGACTTGCACCGTATAATTACACCTCAAAAAGCATTTCAGTTGTCAGCTTGTGTTGTAAGGTCTTTATTTTATAGTATTTTAACATGATGCAGCTTTCCTCATTGACTGTCATTGATTTACTTTTGCGTCTCTAAACCAAACTTCATTTACTTCTTGTCAGGGAGAGGCAGCAGTCCACTAAACAGGTGCGGCGTATGGAGAAGAAACTCAAAGAGAACTCGCTGCAGGTTGACGATGAGAGACGCAATGCAGAACAATTAAAAAATGAGGTAGGTTGTGCAATTAATTTAATACAGTAAGCTTGTTCAAACTACTGCAAAGCCAAGGCAGAGTCTTAATTTGATCTTTATACATTCTCAATCAAAGGTGATTTGATCCACTTGTACCACCTCCTACAGCTCATTTAAATTCAAGGCCTCTTTTGTTACTGTCTTTATTACTAGTTACTGTTCCTATTTAATAGTCACAAAGTTTTACTCTTAATGGTGGACAGCTGAAATGTAAGTATCGTTATAACTCCGTATTTTGAATGCCATTAATAATGAAATCTTCCTCTTTGTCAGATTGAGAAGCTGAACACTCGTATGAAGCAGTTGAAGAGGCAGCTAGAGGAGACTGAGGAGGAAGCGGCTCGAGCTAACGCCTCCCGCAGGAAGCTGCAGAGAGAGCTGGATGATGCCACAGAGTCTGCTAATCTTATGAACCGAGAGATCAGCACCCTAAAGAACAAACTCAGGTGCGTACTCTGCTGCTGTGTTATAGTCATGGTACTGTATTCTTCCACAAATGTTGGTTTTAAAATGAGAAATTACTGACAAATCTGTCTGAAACGCTTGTTTAAATTTGTATGCCACATGTTAAGTGTTTTATATAACTTCTGATTGTCTTCAGGCGGGGAGATTTCACTGTCAACGTACGTCGTACAGCTGGACGCTCGGGTGTGGATAGTGATGAGGAGAACAGTCTAAAAAGTGATGGGTCGGAGCCAACTCCTGAGTAAATTTCAGCGTATCAAAGCTGAGCCTATGGGTATTACAGATGAGGATCTATTATTTGCCACCAAGTTTGTCATTTAAATGAAATTTGTATGCTTTGAGGGCAACTGTATCCTTAATCAAAATCTCATGTCAAAATCTGCTTTAAAACATTGAACATTTTCACTGTTTTAAAGCAGATTTTGAGC